GATGTACAAGCAACGCGAATTTCTTCTACATGGACCATTTTTCTAGGGAATTCCCTCTTTCCTCATTGCGATGAATTATACCCAATGATATCGTTGAGTCCTCGATTACTGATCTTTTCCAAGAGAGATAGAAATAACATAGACAACGCCGCTGTTGCTGCATTGTTACACGTTGTTTGACAATGAAGTATGGCTATGTCCGTGTCTTGCACCGCGGCTGCTTCAAACATTGTTTCGCTCAGTAGTATCAAGTCCTTGATTTGTTATCGCTTTTCACAGCATATCGTAATTTAGCATGCACTTTGCTACTTTGTTTCTCCTCATCCTCGAACAAGCTTTCTATTGAAGAGCGTCGTCAGAAGGACAAGGCCTATTTCAGACCTTGCGAATCGAGCGACTCGCTACTAACGATGCGCTCCATTTGCAATCGTCCGCGGTCGCGTTGCGGTATCAGCGAAGCGCTTTGATTCACCAAAGAACGCATCGTTTTGTACTCCTTCTGACTAGTAAAGGACGCCATTCGTTACGGGTCCCACTGCCTCCTGCTACAGTGAACCCTTCAATGTGGAGCGGGGAATCCGTGAGCCAGGGGCAGTGTCGCCAGTCTAGGGGGGTGGGGGGTGAGGGCAGACACTTGACATGCGTGAGAAGCTGGAATGTTCGAATTCAACCGCGATCACATGGGATCCCCGCGGGTTAAGGCAGTGGGTCCCGCAACGAATGGCGCCCTATACTAGTCAGTAGGAGTACAAAATGATACTCCGTCGTAAAGTCTACGACCGCCGCCAATAGTCAGATAGCAATATGAGGAAAGTACTGACAGCGAAGGAACTCTTGTGACGAAGGTTTCACGGCCAACCGCACGAACAGAGAGGTCGGTGTACGCGAAAGAAGATTTTTACTATCATGCGCTCGTCTGCCAAAAGCTTGGAAATAGAATGCAGATTTATTTTCATCTTGAGTTATTTGTTTATTTTTTCAAATGTCTTATTAGTCACCTTTCACCTTCACATATATGTACCAAACTACATAATCGAGAAAAAGAACATAAAAGAAAATCAACGCGCACTGAAAAGCTTTCCAGCTCGCTTGATAACCTGCACCCCAACGTGTCTCGACTGATTATCGTGCTATGAGTATTGCATATTGCAAAAAACTTGCAGCCAGATGTTTTATGCTTGCAGACTCAGTAAAGCAACAGCCCCAAATGAGGTATGTGTTGAACACCTTTTCCGAGCAGGTAGGAGACAGATTAGGGCGGGCCCGCGAGTAATCACAGTGATGCGTGATGTCGCGGCATCAAAAAGTGCGCGACAGTGACGACTGGAGCCATTACAGGTGGGGTGTCCCTAAGAGCCCACCGCGCGGCGAAGCAAGAGACGCAGCATGCGGCAAAGAGACGAGTTGCAGCGCGTGCTGTGCGATGAGACGTATTATGGTACACTCTCTTTAACCTGACGCCTAACCGCTACAGTATGCGCTGCGACTCGTCCCTTTGCCGCGTCTGCGTCTCTTGCTTCGCCGCGCGATGGGCCCTCTTGGAGGGCACTCTACAAAGTGAGCTAATGACAGCTAATGCTAGCTAAGGGTACCCTGCGCACACCCCTATCGCGTGGAATGTGGGTAATTCAAAATACGCGCGGGGTGAGTGGAAACAATAGAGCAACTCCGTCAGCACTCCTCCCTCCATTCCGAGGGGGAAGGTAGGAAGCCTCTTGTGCGGTTTGTTTGTTTGCTTCTTTTTCGTTCATGGTCAACTCGGCATCCATAATTCCATTACCGACCGCAGTAGCCCCACCAACTGATCTGGACTGTTGCTTTAGGTGTCCTCTCCTACCTTCACTGCTCCAGCGATTGCTTAGCGCTTTGGTAGAACGTTAAGATCTTCATTGCGATATCCTAAGTTGGTGTTTCTCAGGTTCACTTCCGGTTTTTGGTTTTTGGTATGAATAGCGTCCGAACAGCATCCCTGTGCCGCAACAGCCGCAGCTAATATACGCGCGGTTCGTCAATCTCACACCGTTTTTCTTCCACCGTCCGACTCGACCGCAGTTGTAATAACAGCGCTGCTCGTCACACCTATCACTCACTCACACGAAAAAACATCTCTGTTGAAACACGGGTTTTTCCACCTCATTTCAATTTCACATATCTCTTTTCATCTAGATGGGAACATTCTACATTTCCTTTCGAATTTAAATGATTGGAATTAAAGGCGTCTACGAAATTCACCCAACTAGCTTTGGCATAGAGATTTCGAGAACAAAATCAACACTTCTATAATACTACTATTCATGTTCATCAAAGGGCGGTGGCAATTAAGAAAGAAAAAACCTTTATAAACAAAATAATTAAAATGGTTCGTTTCGCTCCTTCCTCAGACGAACCTTATTATTTCGTCAATCCCCGGAGCTAGGTGCTAAGTGGCCCCACTTATAAGGTTTACAGTTCGGAGATCATATCCTGAATCGTGCACCGCCCAGGTTTTCCATCCTTCAGGGATCGAATAATTGGTAACAAATTCTCCTGGGAAGATGAAAGCCCTTCAACCAGTCTGTTATTGAAAGATCGGCTGGCTTCCTAAGCCACTATGTAACCCAAATTGTTTCAACTGTTGCTACAGTTTTGAATGAGAGCAGCTGCGTGGCGCAATCTAAGGTGGGCTTACCAACGCCGAATGCTTCATCTTCTTATCCTTTACGTACGCAAATATAGGTATACCCTAAACACACGCTTTTTAGCACCTAATGTAGACCTTTTTCGAATTGCATAGCTCGTGCTTGCCGCAGAGCTTATTGCTAGTCTTTTGCTATTTATTTGTTTATTTATTTATGATGAAATTATACGCATGGAATTCCAGGCAGACTTTCGGAGAGGATATTTCAGAGCAATCAAAGAATTCAGCAACTTAACCCATTCGTGACAATGTCAGCCACCGGTGGCTGACAAAGCTCTCACTCGGGACAATGGCATTACTGTGGCTGCAGGGCTTGAAATGGAATTTGGAAAGTTTTCTTCCATGGAAAGAATCTTCATACCCTCGCTCATCTACGCCAGCCCTGGGCAGAGGAAATCTCCCTCCACTCGGATTTTATTGAAGAAAAATCTCCTGACGCTGCTGCTATTGCGCAATCCTGCGCGGTCGCGAATGGGTTAAGGATTATACAGTCGATAGTTGACGATTCAAGCATTTCTTGACGAGAACAACTCAGGTTGGCCGTGACCGTCGCGACCTTTCTACGAATATATATTCTACCCTCAGGGCTACATGACTACGAATACCTGACCAGCCGCAGCCACAATATCACCTGTTTACGGTAGATTGTTTTGATCAGGTGACATCAGTAGCATGCAAGCAGCTGTGCAGGATCCGGCTAGACCAGCAACATCAGATCTCCAGCTATTCGCCGTCGCGCCCCACCCTCTTGCATATTGATGCGTTACAAATCGAGGCTTCAGACAACTCCTGATAACCGTTTCTTATCACTGCTCTCAGCTGTCAAAAGCATCTTGGTGAAACCTATGCGTATGAAACCAATTCAGTTCCGAAATTCGCATTTGAATTTTCTAAAAATAACTGCCTGCAATCTTCGCAATACCTCCCGCTAATGTCGCTTTTCTTCTTGCACCTCCTCTCAATCTCTTGGCCGGATTTCTACCAGCGGATCCACAGACTAGCAGCAAATACAGCAATATAAACCTTCCAAAAACTGTTGTGAAGGCTCTATTCAACTACTGAGCTAGGGCAAAGACGCCATCGAGGATAACGGCCGTTCAGTAACGAAACGACAGCCGCTGCAGCTGAGCTTCGGACTATGACACTGAAACTTCTTCCGAACAAGTTCCCCATGTCCACTGTCCTAGGAGTAAATACTTCATCCCCGAAAAAATCGTGAGGGCGAATTTAAGACACGTTATTATATCTTTCGGTTGCTACAGAGTGCAGGCACGTCTCATCTAACTTAAAGATGGTCCTTGTTAGAGTGCCTGGTCTTCACAAGCGTGCTATTTTTTACTTATTGAGGACGATCTTAAAGGCAGCAATTACGATAAGTTTGAGAAGGGTTTAGAGGAGACGGGACGATGCTCAATAGTGCGTCGTTGGCGGGAAAAGGCGGAAAAATCGTGCGAAAAAAGCGCAAAATGGGATCCTCTTTTTTGGCCGTTGGTTTCAACTCATGAACCGGGGGCAGCTCAGAAAGCGGGCGTATGAACGAGTTCAGCGCCACGCGCGTTTGGTAACACCATGCCAAACCACACTCCAATCGAGTTGCTCCAGTTGTGCCGCTGCTGGCAACGCTGCTCGTCCAAATCACCAACTAAACTAGTGGGCGGATCGCTTTTGGGGCGGAGTGCTTTCGAAGTCCTGCTCAGCAACCAGCGCACCTTCCGTCGTGAAAGCGCTACACCTCGCTTCCTTGGCAGCCAAGTAACTGCTTCGTGTGGTGCATATGCTTCCCGATGCGCTCCTACTTTATCGTAATCGCTGCCTTTAACCTCGTATTTGAGTCTTTTTAAGAGGCTCTTTTTGAAGTTTCAATTCTAGATATTATCCTAGCAATTCGACTGTATCGACTGTGTAGTCCTTTTCAAATGTAGTGAAAATAAAGAAGCAAAAGGGAACGGCAGTGGATGGGTGGGGCCGAGCCGTTTCGGTAGCGTCATCGAGCGCAAGCAGTCGGTATGAGCTGGGAACAGGTCCCATTTGATCCCCCACTTCACCCCCCCCCCTCCCCCCACCTCCAGTGCAGTGAGTGGGCCGGTACCATTTCGATTATAGGCTTATCTGAACAAATATGTTTTGTTTTGTAATATTTTGATTCATTCAAGTCAACAACATGACGGAAATGTGATGCATTTTGATCTCATAAGGCGTATTCGGTCATTTTCGATTATTTCAGATGATCACAAACGTTCAAAACATTTAGAGAGAGAGGTACTTTTATTTCAGGAGAAATAAATGGCAACAAGTCCAATGAATATCATGAAAAGTCTAATCTTCAATACGGTCCGGTGAGATTAGAAGAGTTAGTGGAATTGCCTCCGAACTCCTCTCCATATCCGAATCCTCCGAGTGCGTAGATGAGTCCAATGAGCACACTGACAACCTAAAATATCGCATAGTTATCCTATTCCTCATAGAAAACTCGGTAGAGTAGAATCTAACCTGATAGAGAACTCCCGAGACAAGGTCCGCACTTATGTAGTAGATCCCTTCATCGCCACCGTCAGTCCTGTTGCGACCACCAGTTTGGTTGCGTCCACCGGTACCGTTTGTGGTAGAATTACCAGTGCCGTTGTTACGATTCCCACCGACAGTTTGACAAGCGACTTCGTAGACGAAAAGAGCAGCAACAAGGGCAACGGCCAGGCGGAACATTCTGGAACTCGTTGGACTACTATGGGCAGAGTTGAATTCGAGGTCTATTGTAACCTTGCACTGATAAAGAAATGGGAAGTCTTGGGCTAAATGCGACGCTAAAACTCGTACACTATTTGATTTACTTGAACAAATATTATACCCGGAACGGTAACTCGATGAGTATCAGGCACATAAGGAGTACCAGCTCCTGGGAAATGAGCCAAAGCTTTCTAATGGTTAGCCAAGCCCCGTGGTGGCATGGAAAGCCCAGACTTGCCAGAAGTGTACAAATCCCCATAAAAATCTGCTAGTAGTACCTGTAGGACTCGTGTGGAAGGACTCGTGCAGGCGGAACGAATAGGAAGAGACGGTATGTGGTTGTCAACACTGTGTGTTCCACTTTTATACATGAGTACGCCAAGAGAGCAATCAGAGGAGGGGGCCAGGGAGGGGGGGCGACAAGGGGGGGGAACAGGGGAGGACGAGGGGGGGAGACATTGGGACGAGAGGGAGCGGAGGTGAGGGGGGGCGGGCAGGAGGGAATAGAGGGAGGAGAGGGAGGCGGGTGAGGGAACAGGGCGAGTGAGGGAGGCGAGGTGGAAGGCAGGGGGGGCCGACAAGATTGTTTTGTGATGTTGCAATCAGGAACTGGACCAGACATATTTTATATTCAGTATTGTTCCAAAAAACATGTGTATTGTCATGAATTTGGAATTTTCGAATAGGATTACATGCGGTGGCTGCTGGGAAATATGACATAATATTAAGTCCAACAGAACCTTACTATATGCATACGCATTTCCGCAAAAGTAACTTCACAAGCAGAGAATTGAAGAAGAACCTCGTAAGAAAAGGGCGGTTGGTGCCTGGGGTACAGCCAGATGCCGCGAGATCAATTCCTTGCAACTTTTTTTACCTTTGACTTCTCAGCCCAAGTGCTCCGAATGGCTTCGCAATACATACCTACGTAATTCCTGTCTGGCATATAATTACCTCTGCCTCGATGGTTTACGGGGGGGGTCGGACTTGATTGAGTTTTTTTAGGAGGGTGGGGTTTTTTTCCGTAACCATTTACAGTTCGCTTGAAACCCATGTGAACGTTTTGAGATGAACGTTCGACGTTTTATGGTAGGTAGGCGGCGTGGAGGTTAGGTAGGCTAGGTGCGTTGAGGGTGCGGGGAAAACATTTGCGTTGAAGCAGCGCGTAATAATAACCGCCTCTAAAGTAATTATAGGCAGGAAATGAGATGGGAGGGATATCGTGGTCGAGTGAAAAGGGGTCATATCAAAATCGCACCTTTGCGGAGGGGGTCGTAGAAAATTTCCAAAAGGGGTAAACTAACGAAGAGTGACCCTGGTCCCAGCAGAAATGTCGGCAGGACGTTCAGATTAGATCCAGCAAGTTCCGGCAGACGTCAGATTTTGCGACAGACGCACGGTCCACACGATCCCTATGGTCCGTATGGTCTGCGTGGTCGCGCGGCGCGTTTTTCGCAAAGCTTGGCGTCTACCTCAGACACTATCTGCTCATGTGCACATAGCGCTCGTGGCACAGGGATCAGACGATCGCGTACCAGAGGAGCACGATAAGGGACTCAAATGGTCTAAACACCTTCCGGAGCAAATTTCTAGCCAATTCTGAGATTTTCCTCAACCACGAAAAATGTGGCATTTTTGGAACAATACTGTATGAAAAACATGATTTGATCCAGTTCCTGATGCAACATCACAAACAAATTTGACTGTATAAAAGGGGAACGAACGGCGTTGGCAATCACATCTCGTCTGTTCTCCTATTCGTTCCGTCTGCACGAGTCCTGCACGAATCCCACAGGTACAGAATAGATTCATACGGGCATTCGTGGCCTTTTCGGCAATCCTGGACCTTCTGTGGCCACCGCGGCACTCAGCTGTCTATAAAAAGGGGTGTCCCCCAAGAGGCCCATCGCGCGGCGAAGGAAGAGACGCAGATGCGGCAAAGGACGAGTCGCAGCGCGTGCTGTGCGATATGAGACGTAGTATGGTACACTCTATTTAACCTGACGCCTAACCGCTACAGTATGCGCTGCGACTCGTCCTTTGCCGCGTCTGCGTCTCTTCCTTCGCCGCGCGATGGGCCTCTTGGCGCTTTTTATGGGGGACACCCAGTCTCGAAGAGTTGGTACTTTCTTTGCGTCCAATACTTGGTCTGAGTTACCGTTCGAGGTACAATATTTGTTTGAGTAACTTAAATAGAGTACGAGTCGTTGCATTTGGCCCGAATCACTTCTTTGTTGGTGCAAAAGTACAGTAGGCTTCATACTTAGCTCTGTCCGTAGCGGTTTTCGTGTTCTAGAATGTTTGCGTTTGTCGTCTACGAAGTCGCTTGTCAAACTGTGGGTGGGAACCGTACCAACGGCACTGGTAATTCTACCATAAACGGCACCGGCGGTGGCAACGGAACTGGCGGTCGCAACGGAACTGATGGCACTGACGAAAGCGATGAAGGAGGTGTCTACTACATCAGTGCAGACCTTGTCTCAGGAGTTCTTTACGAGGTTGGACCCTACTGTGGTGAGTTTTCTATGGGGAATGGATAACTATGTGATATTATAGGTCGTCAGTGTGCTCCTCAGCCTCATCTACGCACTCGGAGGATTCGGATATGGAGAGGAGTTCGGAGGAAATTCCACTAACAGCTCTAATCGGACTGGTCCCTACTAGAGATTAGACTTCTCATGATATTCACGGGATTGATTGTCACTTATTTCACCAGAAATAAAGCAACAGTTTTTGAACCGATTGTTATTACGTGAATACCCCTGAAAAGCACGAATAACGCTCCATCAGTACAAAGTGAGCCAGGGATGAGGAAAGGCATCGAGTTACCCTCGCAAGAACGCCGACCTCACGACCTCTTCCGTGAGCCCGACGCACTACCTTCCGCGCTCTCCTCTCTTTCAAACGTCTGTCAGGGAACTGTCCACAAATTTTGGGGGTGCATCTTGAACTTCAAGGAAGGTCTTTCAGGGTGTGCCAAGCTTTTTCAAAACGGTCTTTTGCATGATATAGAGGCACATGCGGGAACCACAGAACCATGGTTAATTTTTCCTGAACGGCCCTCTGAATACCAGAAAAGGGGGTCCCTAGTCACACCTTTTTCACCAGTTTTTCAATCAAAGTCTATTTGTAAGGGTTACTGACGGTCATGAATATGGTACTAATTATTCATGCTAACTCCATTTTGCGCGAATTTTGAAACGTCAACTCGAAATGCAAAAATTTGTCACCACGAGGAATCGAACTAGGGACCCCTTTTCTGGTATTCAGAGGGCCGTTCAGGAAAAATGAACCATGCTTCTGTGGTCCCATATGTGCCCCAATGTCATGCAAGAACCATTTGAAAAAGCTTGGCACACCCTGAACGATCTCGCTTGTTAGCGTCTCAAAACATTCAAAGAGGGGTAAATCACCCATTGCAGATTAGAAGAGTCAGTAGAATACTCTCCATTTGTAGAAATTATCAACTACAATTTTCGAAAGCCTCAAATATGTAGTGTAACGGTAACTCGGAGAATTTAATGCGAGCTAGAAGTTTTTCTGATAATTTCAAAAGTAAGCTAAAATTTTTCTTTTCTCTCCTCAAACAGCGTCTTGTAAATGACTCATAAGTTAGGGGGCGATCAAAGGTACGATTGGCTTTTTGCGATTTCAATCACGAATAATGCTTGCAGTGAAATCATCCGTGTTCATGTTAAGCAAATTTAAATTGAACAATTTTGTTTCCTGGATTTTGAAGCTGTTCATTAGTATCTTAAAGAAACTGATGACCTCCGGAATTTATTATTATTGTTGTTAAAACCTTTCCAAACTTATTAAAGTAGTGCAAATTTTGCAAATAAGATGTGACGCTAATAATCATTGAATCGTCTCCAATGCATGCCCTAGATCAAATCGAACCGCGATGCTGGTCTCCGAGTTGGGGGGGGGGGGAGGGACACGTGGCGGCGCCGGCGCTCTGTTCGTCTGGGCTTCCAGAGGCTTAGGCCCAAGCAAGGCAAGTTACTATTTCCGCCATCACGTGGAGTTTGGAGTACGCGCACATTGAGCAACTAGCATTGGCAGAAGCAGAACGAAACAAGCGCGCGCGCCGCCGCGTCCGTCTTCGCCCACCCCGCCCAATTAAGATAGCAACCCAAATTGATATGGTTCTTGCACAGCGAATAGGAATGTGTTGGTGAAACTGGGAGTCCACAGTGTATGGAAAAAAGTAAAACAACGTCGAGAAAGCGCCTGCAATTAGGTGTTCACAGTCCCCTTCGCAATCGGCTGTGCTAACCATAAGTCAGTGAAGAGACTAAGCGCGCAGAGGAGACAGTATGAAGCGAGAGAGAGCGCAACAAATGAGAGGGTGCCAGACAACAGCGTACTGCGGACGGGGAACACTGCAGCTGCAGCAGCTTACTTCGCAAGCCAATAGCGCTCTCGTTGGTTGGTTTTCGTGCATGGGAACGCCACCACTGTGGTTGTCCTCGTTGCTGGCTCTATCAGACGAAGGAAAGTCGTTCAAGAAGACTTCTGCTCTGCGTTGCGCCTTTGAGTGATACGGATCCGTTATTCTGGAACTTTTGAAAAGAGAGCAAGTGAAAAAAAAAGCCTCCAAGAATCTGAAACCAATAATCTTCTGTCTTTTTTTCTATAGTGCAAAGTTTTACTATTCGCGTACCTTTTTAACTCTTCGTATAACCGATAAGCCATCCTGATGACGTCAGCATAGAAGCTAAGTGATTCAGATGGCAAGAGCACGATTGCTTTGAGGGCAGAGGGTTAAGCTGACGTGAATTGAAGCGTTATTGTGCGGCAAAACCATCGACGCACTGGGGAAAGGGGTCGGAGCCTTTCTTGCGAAGTCCTTTCACCAGTGAAGCCCAATTACGAAATCGGACCGCTTCACCTTCAAGCCATGATAATCACTGCCTTCAAAAGACGTTCACGATAAGGTGTTTCGAAGAAGGGGAAATAGTCGTAAGACAGAAGAGCCGCCTGAGAATGCAACGATGCCCGCTTTGCAGCGAAGAGTATGCTCCCAGGAATCTATGAAAAAATGGCGTTTCCGCGGCGGTTATCGACGCAGACACGCCGCATCTCGAACTGTTAGGCCACTCGCCGCAGTCTCTAGCCTCGAACAGAACAAGCAGTAGCTATTGAAGAGGGCAAACAGCGACGAGAGTCGCATCTAAATGTGGAAAACAATTTGACAACCGTAGGGGTAACGCTTCTCGTTTCCTAGGCCGTTTTTCACGGATTTTTTTCAATCTCTGGCACCCTTCGTTTCATGGATGCCTTTATCACATTACTGGCTTCAAAGCACGATGTGTGCCATGTTCACTAGGCGATTCGCGTCAACCGATCATGTATGACTGGGGGCTAGCGTTGATTTGTGCTGGCTTTGAATGCTTGAAGGTACGCAAAATAACCCGCTAAAACTCGTCAACCGGCCCGCATTCTATCATTCGGATATTGATTCTGATGTCTATAGAATGTCAGGCGAGGTCCAAGAGGTGGTCAAGTGAGCGGTTTTTGCCCTTACCGACAATGGTACCAATTGATTGAACCCGGAGTGCTTTCTTGGCCAGGACGGCATAGTACCCAAGGCTCGATCTCTAGACTGTTCGCACGGTATGCAGTGCCACTTTCCACTACACCATTTATCGGCTTCCAACTTCTCATTATTTATTATATCTTGATATATTATTAGGTATGATTAAAAGAGACGATGCGCCTGAAGTCACGTATTAGTAAAGATTGCATATGTTTTCATCACGTGTTGATGCTGTTACAACGTCCTCATTTCTCGCTTCAATAATGGGTTCGACGAAGGAATCTCAGCTGATTTATAGCGCTTTCAGAGTGTTTCTTGGTGTGATAACAGATCTCATTCGTTCATTTTGCACGGCGGCGATCTACCCAGTTTAGTTCTAAGTGTCTAAACAACATTCCTTCACAGAAAGCGTTTAAAACATTCCTTCACAGAAAGTGTTTTTGATCTGAACAACCCCAGTTGGGGTCGTGTGGAAGAATATGTGCGTAGGATAGAGCTGTCCGCGAGTATTGCAGAAGTGCCGTTATCGCGACTCAAAACCGCTCGACAAAGGGACTAGGGTCTCATTAGGTGAGCAAAGGGGCGAGATTCCCCGGGATTCCTCGATATCTAAGAGCACGTGCGAAACGGAGAATCAGCTACACTTCGACTCGCACCCCCAAAAATAAAATTTCGAAAGAAATGCAATCAATGAAATTTGAGGAGTATAAGCAATAATGGAAGAAAAGGATAAAGCATTTGCCGTTGATCAATCCCTTTTTGGGATGCGGCACGCATTCTACTTCCATTTGTACATTCGTAGTGGCGTTTGAATGCGATGTGGCCTATACAATGACTTGCGGGGCCAGCCGATGTACAAGTCAGTGTTTTTATCCTCCCAGACAAGTCTGGTACCAATTAACCGACCCCGGAGGGATGGAAGGCTTGGTTGGCCCGGGCGACTCACGACCCAGGATTTGATCCCGGACCGCTCGCGTGGTAAGCGTGCCACTTGCCACTACACCACTTCCCCTCAAAAAATAATAGTTTCAAACAATAATATTAAGGCCGAAAAGCCTTCCAACAGAGTAGATTAACCATATACTGAACGAATTATTTCATTCTATATTATCTTCACAATAACCTTCAATATGTGAGTAGCCATCGCTATAAACGCTCTACATCATTCCGAGGCAGTGAAAACCACCCATTCCGAACCATTTTTTCGATCCTTTTTTGGCCTACGGGAGCCGCCAGCGAAAATGAACCTTCAAAAATGAAATTTTGTAGTCCATGTAGGATTGCCCCTACAGCATGCTGGAAACCATTTTGAAAAAGCGCTACACACCCTGAAAGACCTCCCTTGTCAAGTGACGTGTCGTAGGAAGGAATTTGAATCAACCTTCCCAGTTCAAAAAATTAGTACAAAACATTTTAATGTAATTGATTAAGCAGTAGAGGAGAAGAAAGTTAGCCGTTTCTGCCACAGTTGAGAAGCAGTAGAAGAGAGAACTGTTAATGCCATAGTTGAGTAGGCCAAAAAGACCTCTCATTGATGGCAACCCACGAAAGAAATAGAAACAATTTCGACGCCAAAATGGTACAGTTGTGTGGCGGGGATTTGAGCGGGTCTCCAGACGGGAATCTAAACGGCATCTTTCGTTTTCCGGGCAGTTATGCTATCAAACCAAAAAAAAGTGTTCTTAGTTTCTTCACTTGACAGAAAAAAAACAAGTTTTCAGACAATTTTTTCTACTTTCTCGTAGGGGTTGGGTCTCAAACCAGCGATTAACGGGGGTACACGTAATAAATTTCCGTGCACGTACCCTTTATCTGTGACCTAGCTTTGTTTGAGGCACTTTTCAGTACCTTGACTCAGTGACTCACCAGTACTTCAACAAATTTAAGCTGATGATAGTAAATAAATCAGCCCGCGAATCGCAAGGCGGGCACTCACTGGCAACTGCTTCCACTTTATTATGACGGGGATGTGGCGGCGGCTTAAGAACTCTTGCAGTCAATACCTTGCAATATATATTTTTGTCCAACCTCCGTGCCTCCCTTTTTTCTTTACCAATTACCACCCTTGTTCTCTGCTTCCCACGTGTCATCTTTGAAACTGTGCTTGGTTTCTTGTGTGCAA